GCAAGCCCGTATTCGCTGGCAACTGATCATCAAGGCGAGGAAATTGACAAATTTGTGACGCATTACGCCAAATCCCATGGAATGGAACTTATGGAAGCACTGTGCAAGCGCCAGAGTGCACCCAACACAAGTGCACTCGAGGTCCGGCAGGCCCGCGGTAGGAAAAATACCTCGACGTCAAAACTGACGGAAAACATGGGCTCATTCACGGAGTTTCTCGAGGAATTCCTTTCCGAAGAGGCTGACGAGGAACCAGCCAGAGATTTCTCCGTTCGCAGCAGAAGATTGTCACGTGCCGATGCTGACTTAGAGGCCAGGACGTATGTGAGTGCAGTCGGAATCCTAATAACTATTTCAAATCAAATTTGCCACTGGGAAAAGACCTCATGACTGTATGCCTCAGAAGAAACATCAGTACAACATACACCTCAAGGACCTGTATCTGTACTTTATGGATGAGGTGCAGTACATGTATATCCAAGGACAGATGACTGGCAAAGGACATCCAGGGTGCTCAAAAATAGCATTTCATATCCAATGCGAAGAGAAAGGTATGTTAGTTCCAGAGTAGTACTTTCGACTGATGTTTCACTGTACAAAGGTTTAGCGAGCAAGCATGACTACAGTGGGTCATACCCTCGCCTGGACCTAGTCATATTTGTGTTTGATGGACGCGTTCAGGCATACTGATTTTGATTTCACGCTGTTTACGCATACCGTGAAACTTGTGTAAGACGACCGCTCAAGGGACCCGTTCAAAACCTGGTTTCTGTTACCAGGTGGTCTCCTTATCCAGTGTCATTGGACTGGAAATAGCATCCCTTGGTGCTGCTTGCAGTGGTCTGCTGGGACAGGTGGTCGTCTTATCCAAGTGGTCACCTTCACAGGTTTTACTGTGCCTACCGTATTTCCCGGAGTATAAGCCGCACCCCCATTTTTTTGCCACAAAATACAGACATCTACTCTATTTATTCACATGAAAGCGACGTTGAAATCCTTACAGGTTCCTCTGGTGTCGTGGTATGAGTTCATACACATTATTTCTATCTGTTAGGTTTCTTGTCTCCACCCCGACTTTTTACTTTATTTATCATCGTTAATTTGATCATCAGAGTATAGGCCGCACCCCCTTTTTGGGGTGAATTTTGAGCGTTCAAATTGCTGCTTATTCTGCGGAAAATACGGTATATCACATAGTTAAAAAATGTTATAGCTGGTTGTATGTACATGTGCATGTGTGACCACCCCTTGCATACACTGAGTTAGACCGGTAAAACGGGTTAGCATCCCCCCACCTCACAACAGAGCAACCGAGTTTTGCATTAAGCTGGGAGTGCCGATTCGAGCAACTGGTGTAATGGCTCGCAGCTGAGCCAGCAAATGACTCCGCATGGAGCAGGCGAATGACTCCGCATGGAGCCGGCGAATGACTCCGCATGGAGCCGGCAATTGACTCCGCATGGAGCCAGCGAATGACTCTGCATGGAGCCGCCGAATTACTCCGCATGGAGCTGCCAATTACTCCGCATGGAGCCGCCGAATGACTCCGCATGGAGCCGCCAATGCCTCCGCATAGAGCCGCCAATGACTCTGAATAGAGCCGCCAAATGCTAGATATATAGAGATGCATAACCAGTTGAGAGCATATATTCTCATGGACTATACAGATACCGTCATGTGTGCGCCAGAAACATGAGTTGAGCTAGTGGGTGGGAGGGTGGGAAGGAAATTGTTTTGGGAACACCTGTTCCGCAAGTTGCACGCTCGAAAGTCCAAACAGCAATGACATGAAAGAGACATTGTACAGGATTTTGAAGGGCGCGTGCCCATGTGACTCGCGCATGCGTGCAGGTTGGGCCAGCTCGCTGGGCTGGCTGCTAACTCGCGTTAGCAAGCTAACGCTCATTTAGCATCCCCCCACCTCACAACAGAGCAACCGAGTTTTGCATTAAGCTGGGAGTGCCGATTCGAGCAACTGGTATAATGGCTCGCAGCTGAGCCAGCAAATGACTCCGCTTGGAGCAGGCGAATGACTCCGCATGGAGCCGGCAAATGACTCCGCATGGAGACGGCATATGACTCCGCATGGAGCCGGCAAATGACTCCGCATGGAGCCGGCAAATGACTCCGCATGGAGCCGGCAAATGACTCCGCATGGAGCAGGCGAATGACTCCGCATGGAGCCGGCAAATGACTCCGCATGGAGCCGGCGAATGACTCCGCATGGAGCCGGCGAATGACTCCGCATGGAGCCGGCAATTGACTCCGCATGGAGCCAGCGAATGACTCCGCATGGAGCCGCCGAATTACTCCGCATGGAGCTGCCAATTACTCCGCATGGAGCCGCCGAATGACACCGCATGGAGCCGCCAATGACTCTGAATAGAGCCGCCAAATGCTAGATATAATTATAGAGATGCATAACCAGTTGAGAGCATATATTCCATAAATCGGCACTCCCAGAGCGGATCACAAAGTGCAGCTACCTGTGAAATTTGTGAGCAGTGCAAGCTCCGTAACGATTGACTAACAGGAACTCGATATCATGGGCTGAGGCCATTGCCACAGCCACCCATGCTTTGGCTGCTGGTGGCCTCTGAATGTTACTCGGGCAAACATGGCTTTCCACCTTCCCGCCTCTCTGAATATCGAGTCCGGCAGCTGATTCGAAATGAGTGGCCGGTGTATAACGCCAGGCCATAGCCACAACTTATGAGCAAGATTTTCGCAGTTGCTGTAAAGCCGATCGATTGGCATCTGCTGCTGGTGCCGCTAGCTTTCCCATGTGCTGCCACAATTGCAAACCACTCTTTGCGATTGGCTGGTCTGCTTGATTGACTGTCCATTGCCCTATCCCCGGTTGCAATTGTTTGCGCACCAGCCAAGTGCACCACTTGCATCAGTGAATAGCAGCAAGTTGGAGGACGGCGTCCACTTAGGGTGTAGGAAGAAGGACCGGCCGTTCTACTATTCCAGGAGCTCAGGCCATCAGCGAAGGTATTTGACGCACTCTTCGGAGAGCTTGATCAGGTAATACGGCTGCCGGTACCAGTTGGCAAGTGACCACAATCTGCAATGTGCATCCTGGGACTATCACTCTTGTAGCAAACGAGAGCTTTCCCAGAAGATACTCGAGTTGACATTGGGTAGTTGAAGCTGTGTTGAGAGTGGCCCGTAGGAGGTCGTGAAGCTTGGCAAGTTCGTCCATCGGCAGACTGATGTGAGCGCGCGGGTGTCCAGGATGACGCCGATAAACGTCAGGACGTGGGCTGGACCCTCCACTTTTGCTGACGCCAGAGAAACACTGAGGTATGTAAACGCACGGCGCCGAGTAGCGAGTTGCTGGCGAGCTAACACAAGTCCAGAGCATGCATGGAGACAGAAACGTTAGTCGAGGTATTTCCCGTAATGGGAAGATGCCAATAACGTCAGGGCTTGAGCTGGACCCTCCACTTTTGCTGGGGCCAGAGAAACACCGAGGTATGTAAGTGCTCGGAGCAGAATAGCGAGTTGCTGGCGAGGTAACACAAGTCCAGAGCATGCATTGAGGAAGTAACATTAATTGTGGTATTCCCCGTAATGCAACAGGCGTGGGACTCACTGGGAGTGCGAACTGCCCGCACACAATCCATTCACTGGCGGATACGACAGAGTTCCATATAGCTGGCCTGGAGCGTAGTACAGTCTGAAGGGCAGGACGCTCTCATAACAGTATTGATCCTGCCAGCGGTTCAACAAGGGGAACACTTGTTCCGCAAGTTGCACGCTCGAAAGTCCAAACAGCAATGACATGAAAGAGACATTGTACAGGATTTTGAAGGGCGCGTGCCCATGTGACTCGCGCATGCGTGCAGGTTGGCCAGCTCGCTGGGCTGGCTGCTAACTCGCGTTAGCATGCTAACGCTCATTTAAAACGGTCACATGCTGCATGTTGTTCGTGTCCTGTCCAGTGCGAGGAGGAGGAAGCTAGCACGGCTACAGCCCGCATGGACGCCAACGAAGGAGGGGTGGTTTCAGACGGTAGCACTCGACTAGCCGTTCAACCTGGTGCTTTGCCCATGGACTTGAGTGTCAGTGTTGTTCAGCATTTCTCTAGAGCCGAACACAGCAGTGAAGGATCTCCGAGTGAAAGTGGTGATCCAAGCAGGCTCCAAATGCTCTCAGTAAGTCATTTCCCAACCACCTGCCCGGGTTCTTGTATTGCTGTACTTGTTAGTTTTAAGTGGCAGTTACCATGGTTACAGGGTAGCGTGTTAGCGGGAGACACGCTTACTCGCTTGTTGTGGCCCTTGCTGATGGCTGCAATGTTGGTCTTGCAGCTGCAGCTCACTTTTAGCGTGATTTTTGTTCCACATCCTGTGAAGTTTGCTTCGTGCAGCGAAATGCTTGGTAATGAGCTTCATGCAGTGGGGTATCCAGGATTTGGCCCGGGTGAGGGGGGGGGGGGCAGATGACACCATGGCCACGTCTGGCGGAGTGTCAGTCAGCTCCGAAACTGGACTTGTAACGACTTGATCACTCACACTGCTTCCTGTTGTAACAGGAACTGCGCCGTAGCAAGAACGCTTTGCGAAAAGAACCATTCAAGCTCTGCTACCCAAAGCTTGGCCTCTTTGGATGGCGCTGAAACTTCACAGAAAAGTCCTCCGGCCAACCAATTCGCGATTCGAGTCCTGAGGCGACCATCCTCGTAACATCATCGTACAAACGGCTAGCTGCGAACAGAAGCACTTGCCTATGACTAGCTTTGTTTTATCCCGCTTGCGCAGAGGGAGATGAGACAGCACTTGCCTATGACTAGCTTTGTTTTATCCCGCTTGCGCAGAGGGAGATGAGACAGCTCACAGGAGGGTAGTGTAGTGCAGCAGGTCTTTCCTAGGCAGTTTCCTGGGCAGTTTCCTGGGCAGTTTCCTGGGCAGTTTCCTGGGCAGTTTCCTGGGCAGTTTCCTGGGCAGTTTCCTGGGCAGTTTCCTGGGCAGTTTCCTGGGCAGTTTCCTGGGCAGTTTCCTGGGCAGTTTCCTGGGCAGTTTCCTGGGCAGTTTCCTGGGCAGTTTCCTGGGCAGTTTCCTGGGCAGTTTCCTGGGCAGTTTCCTGGGCAGTTTCCTGGGCAGTTTCCTGGGCAGTTTCCTGGGCAGTTTCCTGGGCAGTTTCCTGGGCAGTTTCCTGGGCAGTTTCCTGGGCAGTTTCCTGGGCAGTTTCCTGGGCAGTTTCCTGGGCAGTTTCCTGGGCAGTTTCCTGGGCAGTTTCCTGGGCAGTTTCCTGGGCAGTTTCCTGGGCAGTTTCCTGGGCAGTTTCCTGGGCAGTTTCCTGGGCAGTTTCCTGGGCAGTTTCCTGGGCAGTTTCCTGGGCAGTTTCCTGGGCAGTTTCCTGGGCAGTTTCCTGGGCAGTTTCCTGGGCAGTTTCCTGGGCAGTTTCCTGGGCAGTTTCCTGGGCAGTTTCCTGGGCAGTTTCCTGGGCAGTTTCCTGGGCAGTTTCCTGGGCAGTTTCCTGGGCAGTTTCCTGGGCAGTTTCCTGGGCAGTTTCCTGGGCAGTTTCCTGGGCAGTTTCCTGGGCAGTTTCCTGGGCAGTTTCCTGGGCAGTTTCCTGGGCAGTTTCCTGGGCAGTTTCCTGGGCAGTTTCCTGGGCAGTTTCCTGGGCAGTTTCCTGGGCAGTTTCCTGGGCAGTTTCCTGGGCAGTTTCCTGGGCAGTTTCCTGGGCAGTTTCCTGGGCAGTTTCCTGGGCAGTTTCCTGGGCAGTTTCCTGGGCAGTTTCCTGGGCAGTTTCCTGGGCAGTTTCCTGGGCAGTTTCCTGGGCAGTTTCCTGGGCAGTTTCCTGGGCAGTTTCCTGGGCAGTTTCCTGGGCAGTTTCCTGGGCAGTTTCCTGGGCAGTTTCCTGGGCAGTTTCCTGGGCAGTTTCCTGGGCAGTTTCCTGGGCAGTTTCCTGGGCAGTTTCCTGGGCAGTTTCCTGGGCAGTTTCCTGGGCAGTTTCCTGGGCAGTTTCCTGGGCAGTTTCCTGGGCAGTTTCCTGGGCAGTTTCCTGGGCAGTTTCCTGGGCAGTTTCCTGGGCAGTTTCCTGGGCAGTTTCCTGGGCAGTTTCCTGGGCAGTTTCCTGGGCAGTTTCCTGGGCAGTTTCCTGGGCAGTTTCCTGGGCAGTTTCCTGGGCAGTTTCCTGGGCAGTTTCCTGGGCAGTTTCCTGGGCAGTTTCCTGGGCAGTTTCCTGGGCAGTTTCCTGGGCAGTTTCCTGGGCAGTTTCCTGGGCAGTTTCCTGGGCAGTTTCCTGGGCAGTTTCCTGGGCAGTTTCCTGGGCAGTTTCCTGGGCAGTTTCCTGGGCAGTTTCCTGGGCAGTTTCCTGGGCAGTTTCCTGGGCAGTTTCCTGGGCAGTTTCCTGGGCAGTTTCCTGGGCAGTTTCCTGGGCAGTTTCCTGGGCAGTTTCCTGGGCAGTTTCCTGGGCAGTTTCCTGGGCAGTTTCCTGGGCAGTTTCCTGGGCAGTTTCCTGGGCAGTTTCCTGGGCAGTTTCCTGGGCAGTTTCCTGGGCAGTTTCCTGGGCAGTTTCCTGGGCAGTTTCCTGGGCAGTTTCCTGGGCAGTTTCCTGGGCAGTTTCCTGGGCAGTTTCCTGGGCAGTTTCCTGGGCAGTTTCCTGGGCAGTTTCCTGGGCAGTTTCCTGGGCAGTTTCCTGGGCAGTTTCCTGGGCAGTTTCCTGGGCAGTTTCCTGGGCAGTTTCCTGGGCAGTTTCCTGGGCAGTTTCCTGGGCAGTTTCCTGGGCAGTTTCCTGGGCAGTTTCCTAGGCAGTTTCTGGCCTGCATCCAGGCTGACCCGAGTTGCTCTCAGTAACAGTTTGACCCAAGATTAAGCAAGGGTGCTAAGCTTGCGTCCCCGTGTCCAAAACTTGCGTCGACAGATACACAAAAAATGTATAGTGGGAGAACATTGATGATGATAGTGAGAGAGCATTGATGCAGTGCAATGAGGGCAATGACATTATAACTTCAGAAGTCCAGTATATTTAATTACGGGGCTGCATGCATTAGACCGAACATGTACTTCCCATGCTTCTAAATTATAGACTTTCAAGTGTTCAAAGTAGCTGTTGTGTGAGGCATCATGTAGCTTAGGTTTAATTGTCGGCTTGTTGGTGTTCTTCATCGTGTCCCGTGATGTTCACTCTATTTACACATGCAGGTAGTATCGTGCACGCCATCAGGCCTCCGACCTAAGCAGAGTGTTCAACTGGAAGTGAACGTTGCCGGAGAGCAGGGAGTTGCTGGCGACGTGCCCGGTAAACACGAGGTGGGCTTATAGTCTCCTGGATGGATGCTATGCTGGTATCTATTCTACCTCAATGCCATTTGCCGCATTGTGTAGCAAGAATGCCATTTCCTGATACATTGAGGGCTGCCTAAGGCGACAGCTCAAGGGACCTTGTAGATCTAGTCTCCGTGCTCAGCCACACAGGTGGTCTCCATATCCAGGGTCGTTTGACTGGATAGAACATCACTAGTCTTGGTCCTGGGAACTGTGGTCTTCTTGAAGGTGCTCCCCTTACACCAGAGTGATCATGTTGGGTTTTTTCACTGTAATCGCTGGAGTGGTAGAAACTCTGCACCGTTACACCACCAAGGTTTGATTGCTGGCTTATGTGTCTCGCTTTTCTACAATTTCTGTGCATCAGCTTCGAGTAATTTGTACGCCAGGACAGTTATCACGTAGCTCAATAGCCTCTCCGCCACAAGTCGAAGACATCACGGATAATTGTAATATTGATGCTGATGCTGACACTGGCATTGCGACAATGAACATAACTTACTTTGCTGACATCTGTAAGTGACTTGTGTGGTGTTATGCAACGATGCTAGCATGTATTTTTTGTCATTGCATTCTGCGAGCAGGTTTTCGGTACACGTATGTGTATGCTTGTCGTTGTCCATGCTCATAAGGGTGCACGTATGTGCTCGTGTGTGCATGCGTGTGTGTATATGTGTGTGTGTGTGTGTGTGTGTGTGTGTGTGTGTGTGTGTGTGCGTGTGTGCGTGCGTGCGTGCGTGCGTGCGTGCGTGCGTGTGTGTGTGTGGGGGGGGGTGTATGTGTGTGTGTGTGTGTGTGTGTGTGTGTGTGTGTGTGTGTGTGTGTGTGTGTGTGTGTGTGTGTGTGTGTGTGTGTGTGTGTGTTTGTGTGTCCAGTATGGTGCAGTGGTATGTGCAGTCGATTTCCAATCGAGAGGTTGCGGATTCAATTCCCGACGATTATGGTCGCACACATCTTTCTCCTTCTTATTCTCCTGGCTCTTCTTTCATTCTCCTGAGTACAGTCAGTGTATGCCGGAGTATGTGGTGTAGCGTGTGTGTGTAAAAAAAATGAAAAATAGGGATTCACTGGCCAGAAAAAGCCACTTCAATCAGCTGTGTGGTGGATACCAGGCTAAATATTAGTGGCGGTAAATTCATCAGCCGTGCAAGCTGTTGAATGGTGTAATCCCAGCACCAAGTTGCTATGTCTAACATAGCTGTTCGCTATCATCGCTTCCGCGATGGGCATGTCTGAGGTCTGAGGTGTTTGTGTGTGTGTGTGTGTGTGTGTGCGCACGCGAGCGCGCGCGCGCGTGCGTGCGTGCGTGTGTGTGTGCAATCCTTTTTCTGCACCTTGTCCTTACCCACTTACTGAGGTATGGTGAGCCCATAAGTGGGATCATGTTCAAGTCCACCGAGAGGTTTGGAGGTTGCAGGTGGTGTTGGCCGTTGGCCGTTGGGCAGTTCAATAGCCAATTGAGTCATCTTTCAAAGATTCCTTTTGAGTTTCTCTCCCCTCTCTCAGGGAGGAGACCCACGTGACCAGTTTTGGCAGTGAGCAACAAGTACAAGTACACGTGTGTGTGTGGGGGGGGGGGGGGGAGGGGAGTGCGTGTGCATCATCTATAAAAGGAGAAAAGAATCGCTTAGGATTGATTAGCCTGTGATGAATAATAAGTAACATGCGAATGATGGTCAATTCCTCTGCCTTGCACTGATAACTGCTTTCAACTGTGCAAATGCAACAAAAATCCTGCTATGCCGAGTGTTGTAGCCTAGTTTTCTATGGGTACCTTTTCGGTGACAGTCTATTTCAAAGTCACCTGGTTATGCATGTTTATGCAGTGTGGATGCACTTGTCGACTACTCTAGACATCACACGACCAAGTTACCATGACGGGCTCGGTCGGCCCGTCATCGTCCAGTTCACATGCTACGTGAGTTGGCGATGCGGAGGGTCGGGTTTCCTGGCCGTGATGTGTGCTGCATTGTGCTCCTTTTTTAGATTTTTCATCATGAATCGCTTAAAATTTCAACAATTGAGTTATCGTATTAAAAGAATTAGAGGCCTTGAATCTTTTTTTATCGAAACCACTCTACCATGCACTGAGGAATGTGAGGATGTCCCAATCTGCATGGCATATGTCATGCTACGAATGCAGCAAGTAAACTCCAGGTTGTATGCTTGTGTTTGTTGCAGGTATCCTGAGAATGAACCCAACGACCGGTAATTTGAGTGTTGCCAATGGAAACGGTGACGGTAGTGGTGGTGGTGGTGCCAGTATGGGCTGTCTTACCGATGCCGATCGCTGCCAGGTGTCCGACTTCATCTCTTCGTCAATCTCCAGCACCGTCGTGGTGAAGGTGTTTTTCCGCTGGTTCCATGCTACGATGGGCGAACTCGGCATTGGATTTGGTGGCACCGAGGATCAGTTTGGTGCCTTCAATGCCGCGGATGAGGTGAAGTCCTTCCAAATGAAGCCCCTCAAGCTGACATCCAGCGACTCCTTCCAGGTGAAAGTGCTCGTACGCGATGATGACTGGATGATTCCAGAGGACCAGCTTCAGAGCTGTGAGGACCAGATTTGCAGCCTTGAAGCTGAGGAGATCTCTCTGGAAGTCGTCCGACGGGACAACTTGAGCGACAGCACCACTTCCGACAAACCCGTGGTTATCCGCCTTGAACTCATCGTGGACTCGAGAACAGGGAAGAGAAGCCATGCCAGGTCCTTCAATCTTCCTCCCCCTCCACTGCCTCAGCGCAAAGGCCAGCGACTCTCACAGGCTGCGAGTGGTAAGACTTATACAGTGTATTGTGCATGCAGGCAGAAGAACGAGCAGTTTTTTCCGTAACTCTGAGTTTCACAAACTGAATCGATCATCAGACGAAAATAGATACTGACCCTGCCCTGAGAGTACTGCTATATTCCATGAATGTGGCAAGCCCAGCATGATATTGTGTATGTGTAGTGCAGACCGTACACTGAGACCAAACCCTTTCGACTGCATGTGCATGGTCGGCATTTATACTGATAGCTGATGGGACTGTGCACGGGTAACATCTCGGACCGCTACATAATCCATGGAGATTAACTAAATTTCCATGACCTCAGAGAACCTTTTGAAGTCTAACTTGTATGCTGTAAGAATAGAACCGTTAAAACCAAGATCTGTGGAGTCTTTTCTAATCAGCACTCCAGTAATTTCGAGCAAAGCCTTTGCAGTTACGCCCATGCCATCACGTTTCACAAAGCCATCAAGTGATGGCAGGGAACAAGTAATTTTGTGGATGTTGACCGCGCATTACGAGATTGGGAACATTCTAACACGGATCACGGTTGCTTGAAGAATGGAAGAATGATTTGTAGGCAGTAGACAACTCTTCTGGTCGCAGGTACGGCGATGATTCTGTCTTCTGCTTGTTTCGAGTGTGGTATTGTGTTTGCACTCGCTGATATACAATTCAATGAACTTATCTATGCACAGGGGAGGCTGTGAAGAAGGTTCCAAATATGTCACAAAGTAGCGAAACGCAATGCACCGTGCAAAGTCTTGCCATGTTTCAGAACATTTAATGTGATTTCGTCGCCACACTCCTGTCGCCTTTTTGCAGTGCATATGTCCTGGCAGCTCTGATGACTGCACTGACATGCAAGAAGCAGCTCTGAAGTTCATTATGGCATGGCCTATTTGTGTCTACCACATACACTTGCGCACAGCGGCCTCACTGTGTTTGTATGTGCATCACTCCAGGACCGTGGGCAGACGAGCGGTTCCCGGCCAAGTTCTACTGCGGCTGGATCAAGCTGATCGACGAGAGAATCCTGAGAGACCTTTCTGTCGAATGTGAACTGTTGAAAGGCGACATAATCAATGACCTAGTGGCGGCAACGAGCACGCCAAGTGTACACGCTCAGCTCTATCTGGACCATATTACACCGCTTGGCGAGGACACGTTTGACAAGTTTCTGGCCGTTGTTGAAAAGGTCTACAAACATAAAGTCCGCGACTTTGAAGAACTGAGGAAGCCCGGTTCAATGGCTGACTTAAAGGAGAAACGTGAGAGTGAGTGAGACAATCTCTATGATAGGCAGCATTGTTTTGATTGTCCCCATAACAACTACTTACAAAGTTACAGTACAGTAATAGAGTGCCCCTGTACCAGGGAGCGGTGAATCTACGGTCAAACATGCTGACCTCGGAATCACTGTGTATGGTTGTTTGTTTTTGACAGAGTACTATTATGAGCGCTTTTGAGCCGGTTTACAAATGCTTTGTTGTTCATTAACTTCATAGTGATCAGTTCGGCCAGTAACTCTGATCTCTGCTGAGCAGACCTAATAAGGTGGAAACAGCTTGCTGTCCGGAGCATTGAGAGTGTACCATTCTTCTATGCATAGGTGTCTTTTCATACAATCATCTCATTTTGAGTGTGTTAGAAACTTGAGAAGTGTCTCTCCAATAAGAAGGCAGTTTTGCAGGTGCCCCGAGTGAATTGAAATATAACAATACAATGATACTGACAGCAACGGCATACAACAACGACAATGACGGTAGCATGCCTGTTTTGACGGGCAAACAGAATACAATTCACGATGCTATGGTGAAGGATTAGAATACAACACCAAAAATGCCTGTTTTGACTGTCCTGTGAGGTTGAATGACAACTGGTATTTCCCACGTCAGTCAAATACCATTCAATATTGGCAATCATATTACTAGTATGTGGCCAGAGATGTTTTGAATGGCTCATTTATTCCGTGTGTGCAGATCCATGGTGCGATGAGCGGTTCTTCTCACACGATCTGAGTCAGTGGATATTGGAGTTGAATCCCCAGCGACTGCAGAACGAAGCCAGGAGGAAAAGGATGTGGTGCAGGAAGTATGAGACAGGGCTCTATGAGCTGAGACACACACAGCAGCTTCACAACGAGAAGTTCATCCGCTACATGGCGCCCGGTGAGCATGTTACATTCGAGAAGTTCCTCGAGATCGTCGAGGTCTTCAACAAGGACAAGGTTGAGAAGTTCAGGGAGCTGCTCTCTGAAGCGAAAACGCAGCGGACAAGAGGTGAGCCAATTCCGTATACTGCTGCACATCTGGTGCTGCACACACGTGGAGTTTGAATAACGTTGGTATCCAATGCATTGCTTCAGTTGTTCAGGCACTTGTCAGTCTGTTATTCTCAGTGATCACTGATCTGTGTATATGTATGTGTGTGTATGCATGTTTTGAATCTCTCCCCATGTCCTGGTAAACGACCTGCATGCCACGCTTCTGTCAGTCAGCAAGTAGGAGTATAAATTAAGTAGTGTGTGTACATGCACTTGTTACACAATCTTCTTTCAGGAGTGGTGAGAAAAACGGTAGTCGATCCCGCTTCTCCTCTGGTGTAAGTCGTTCAGCATGAGCTGGCATGATAATATGACTGTTTTGACTGAACTTCGAAAGGCATTCTATAGCAGTTACTGTTCTATGCGACTGTTCTGTGAGTTAGAGCGGTGAGGTCTCCTGCAGATGTATACATGCATTTCTGTTTGTCTGTCATGACATGAGAAATGCCGGTGGTTCAGCGCCAGTGTTGACATTTTTTTAAACTGAACAAACGTTGTTGGCACCTTCTGTTGCAGCGGCAGCGTTGTGCCAGATGAACATCCTGCCACAGTAACGAGCACGCCATCATGCGAACCTACAGTTATACCACCACCACGCAGTGAGTCGCCATGCATCCCTCCCAGCCAACCACCCGCAGGTGACCATACGCAGGAGCCACCGACCAGTCCGACTAGGCAGCCGCTCGGTGAACCCGAGAGTGGGAAATCTGGGCCAGCGTCGTCTCCTCGGCCGACTAAATTTGAGGATGATGATGACTCTGGTAAGTTTGGGTTCAGACAAGCAATTCCTTATTGGATGGTGTACATCGGTGCTTGTGCAGCTAATGGAATTTTAGGTATGAAAGAGATGAACCAAACGTACCGAAAAATTATGAAATTGCAGTATACTAGTAGGCAATGCAATTCGAGGATCCCCATATCCATTCCTTGTGATAGTGAAGTTCAAACCTTGGAATTTCAGGCAAAATAGCAACACGTGTGACCTTCGGAAAACTGGAACAGTGGAAAATATCCTGGGGACCCCCATTTTGTATTTCACAGAATCATGGCGGCTTCCAAAGGCCATATCTACACGTCCAGAGAATTTTTAAAGTTTCCTCCATTCAAACACTCGATCACAGTCTTTTCGCTGCGAACGTCACTGAAAAATATATTTAAAAAAGGTATTTAATACGTTGATGAAACTTTGTCCCAAACTGTCCCAACCTCCTTAAAGCCACGACTCCAGATTGAAGGAAGTGTTTGATGGCAGTGTAAAAGGGGGAGGGCAGTACGCACCTGTAGCACATGTGTCCAGATAGGGTCCAAGTCCATACTTAGGCTCCGTTTGTAATGCAGAACGGAGTGGGGGGCATAGCATATTCTAGGACAGTTCAGAATCATGCAGTCGTTCTGAAGAAGCGACCATGTTTTTTTTGTTGTTGCTTAGTTTCAATTTTCTGATAGAAAACAAGCAAAAAAAGAAATATCAACTGCTGGAAGCTTCGAAGTAAACTTTTAAACGTATGAGAGTGTCTGTGCTATTGTACTTGTTTTGCTGCTGCTGTTGCTGCTATTGTACTTGTTTTGCTGCTGCTGTTGCTGCTGCTGCTGCTGTTGCTGTTGTACTGCTGCTATTGTTGCCGCCACCGCCGCTGTATTTGTCGTTGTTGTTGTCAAGTTGCTGTTGCCGGTTATCTAGATGATGATTCGTCGATGTCTAGTTGCTGTCGCTGCTGCTAATCACCATAATCACTGGAACATCCGTGCCATCCACCAAACTATTGTGCTGACTATTCATGCGCCACTTCCCCACCAAGGTGTCAAGTGGTATCACTTTCTCTATGGGCTATGCAGTGCAGTACAATGTACATACTGAGTCCTAGAGTCAGCCTCCAGTCTCCAGTCTCCAGGTGATTGCGTAGAGCAAGGCGTGATCTGTGAAGAGAGAACTCATAATTCTAATCATTTCTAAATATTTCTAAACGAAGTCAGGGTCGCAAGCATCCACACAATTTCACACATCCAGTCCAATTGCAGAGACAGCATATTTTCTTTCCACTTGTGTCCACAAAGTTCAGGATCCAACTTATGAATATACAGAGCTTCTAACACAGCCAAATGCAACATACATCATCACCACATAACAATACTGAGAAAACATTATTACTGTGCAACTCACAACAATTCGTACAATCATGTTGGCAGATGTAGCTTAATGCACGAAGTGCGATTCTTTGCTCCGATGGTTGTCTCCTCCAGTGTCCCGTCATCTCGCCTCTTCGCGGCACCATCAATACCCGTCTCTGCCCCTTTTTCGTGGCCTTCCACGTTTTCTAACACTAGCCATTGTGGGTGCTATGTCCAGTGTCCTTGCAGCTACGTGAACCGAGAGAAAATGTGTTGTCTCTGCAATTGTTTAGGTGTAAAAAATGTTACATAATTTGCACACTATGTTCTATATGATGTTGTCATTATCATTTTCCTTCGAAGTTTGTGTCGTTCTGAACTTGATAATTTTCCACCTTGTCATGAGCGTTGTTATCTCATTATCTTTATCCTATTATACCCTGTAGTCTATTCTCCACTTGAGCTACTCCCTGCACTATCCTTGATGAGAAGGGAACGAAAACGTTTGATATCATAATTTATGAGAAGTGATTTCTTGACTTGATGTGTGAAATTGCATGAATGCTTGCAAACTTGATTTTGTTTAGAAACTGCTATCCGCTACCGACCCCTGTTACATTTCAAAAATGATTTTAAATCTTTGAGTCTCGCTCAAATATTTATCTTTCCATTGACACTGACTTACTTATAGTCCGGAGGGGGATGGGGGAGGGGAGGGGAGGGGAGGAGAGGGAGGGAGGGAGGATGGGAGGGAGGGAGAGAGAGAGAGAGAAACAGAGAGAGAGAGACAGACAGACAGACAGACAGACAGACAGACAGACAGACAGACAGACAGACAGGGAAGGGAGGGAGAGAGAGGGAGGGAGGGAGGGAGGGAGGGAGGGAGAGAGAGAGAGAGAGAGAGAGAGACAGAGAGAGAGAGAGAGAGAGAGAGAGAGAGAGAGAGAGAGAGAGAGAGAGAGAGAGAGAGAGAGAGAGAGAGAGAGAGAGAGAGAGAGAGAGAGAGAGAGAGAGAGAGAGAGAGAGAGAGAGAGAGAGAGAGAGAGAGAGAGAGAAGCAAAGACGTCCCAAGAACAGAAGGAGAAAACAAACACCGGCCAGGCAGCGAGTTCCAGGATTGCGGTGCTGATGAGCTTGTATGAACCGCTTGGTAGTCCAACTTCTTTCTCCGCTCAAGCTCGAGGAGAACAGAATCAATAATTATTGGTTTACGACGCAGGACACAGCATAGGAAGGGCTGGTTCTGCTGCTGGTCCTGGACTATGTTGATGAATGCGTACATAACTACAATGTACTAGTAGCTCCTAGATCATGTACTGATGACGTAGATCTAGGCTATGCACCTATCACGTGCCTTGCCAGGCTTTGGTGTGTGAGATACACTCACTGATGGTGCGTTGCCTTGTGCATTGGGAGGCCGGGTGCATGCGTCCCAGCATTACCTGGCCTACTGCACCCCTTTGTGGTGCATACTGGCCCACCAGCATGCAAGATGGAATGTAAAAATAATGGAATGCAAGGAAGTAAAGAAGTATTTTGATGAGAGCGCAAATAAAAAAGGACACTGAATTAATGGCACCTGGCTGTAGTAGATCTACTGGTAGTACATCAGGCATTAGCAGTAGGAGCAGCAGGGATACTACTACTAGTGGGTAAACACATCATGCTAGTGATAGCAGTATACAGTGTAGAGATGACTGTATTATAATGTTATTGTCCTGCTAGACCATGAGACAGCTTATTATGGGTCAAGGTTGTACGCATGGTGGTTTGAGATATTTCAGCTGGAATGTAAACACGACTTGTCATGCGACGTATTTATAGAGCAGCGTTGTTCCTGGCGCGCCTGCATCGCTCTGATCGCGGACAGATCTTCACTGTCGCCTGGCCAGATACCGGTAGATGTAGATGTTTATGATTGTGTTGATATAATCCGTATCAGGTGTAGATCGGGCGGAGCAAGTCAAGCGGGAGGAATGCAGCAATGCCAGTCAATGATTCGATCGGGAATGAGACGCATGCATAATGTAGCTCATAGCAAGAGTACCCCTGCTCATAGACATTCATGTACGTGATCGCATTTCTAATCTGAGCATAGCAGAGACACCAAGAGTCGACTTCCCAACACAATGAACATGAAAGGTATGGTCATACATAGACATACTTTGAAAGAAGTAGAAATTACATTGTAAATGTATGGTCATACGTAGCTGCATGGATCATTCGGGAGAATTACACGTGGAGTCCATGCACATTGTCGAGACTCGCGAAGCTTCGAGAAGAGGTACTTGTACTACATTTTACAGAACTACATTTAATAGTATTACAACAACATACTACTACTGTACATGCACATAAAAAAAGTAACCAAATTATTATGGTTAGACTTCGGTGAAAAGAGCCAATGATTTTTTTTTAGAGAAGAAAAGAGGAATAAAGAGCGGCTACAAGCTACGCTGTAATATCCGCTAAACACCACCAGTTACTTTACAATCAGCTCATGCGATAATATTGCATGACACTGCCCAACAGTGCTGACGTTCTACACATGAAGAATAGTAAACGTGTTTTGCAATGTATGAAGCTATTTTGTATATAGTATGTTCCCATTCCGTTTTTGCTTTGCTGTAGCCCTGAGGTTGATTTGCGTATTTATTTCTACCCTTCCTCTCTCCGTACTTCTGTCCCCCCCCCCCGGGGCCGGCCCCCCCCCCCGGGGCCGGCCCCCCCCCCTCTCTCTCTCTCATTCCTTCTGTCGTCCACATGTATCAAAGGAGGCGAAATCGCCTGTTTGTGGTGCGACGTTAAATAAACTTCTACAACAACACCTAACTGGCAATCAGCTCTAGCACGTCGTGGATGCGCACTCCAACAGCCTTACATCCGCCAACGTCCTTCACAGTTGAGACTTTCAGCTCGTGCTTGTCTTGGTCGCGCTCACCTTCCCCTCCTTATGTTAATTATAGAACGGCCTTCCAAGCTGCCTAGTGTTGGAGTGTACATCCAAGACGTGCTAGAGCTGATTTCCAGTTAGGTGTAGAACGTCGGTACCGTTGGTCAGTGTCGTGCAACGTTATTGCATGAGCTGATTGTAAAGTAACTGTTGGTGTTAGTGGATGTTATAGCGTAACTTGTAGCTCTTTGGTCCTCTTTTCTTCTTATAATAATTATTATGGTTACTTTTGGAGTTGGGCTCCATGCCCGTGCTTTACTTGTGCTTGTGCAGAACATGTGTATGCTGGTCGACTTTGTTAATAATAAAATCATAATATTCATCACGAAATAGCATTTGCAGTTTCGTGTTTTCAGAGATCTGAAAAGAGAACAACTTTCCGAAAATGAGATGATCACTCTAAAACCACTAATTGTGTTTTGAATATCCATCGATGTTTATGTTTACATAATTTCCCTAGGTGTGTCGTTTGTCTTCTTGACCGCGTATAGGCTAACATCGACACACGTACATAGACTGCGGGACTAGATGATGTTGACTAACATGCAGCCGGTATGACACTACAACTAGTCCGGACACAGAGCCGTCACGATATTGTACGGTCGAACTGCATCAGTCTTGAATCTTGATCTCCTCACTCCCCACTGTAGCTGGGCAGTACAGTAGCAGACTATCAAGTATTTCCCTGTCAGACTCTGGTTTGAGGAATGATTACTGGTGTCCGAGTATGTGAATCAATGAGTAGCAGCCGCTTGTGGCTCTCGCCAGTTTGGCAGGAATGTGTGAAAGCCGCAAACGCCAGACTAGCCAGCTCGCTCGCTGTTTCTACGACGTGATACAGTATCTCACGTGCATTCTCCACAAACCTGTCCAACCACCATCTCTCTCTCTCTCTCTCTCTCTCTCTCTCTCTCTCTCTCTCTCTCTCTCTCTCTCTCTCTCTCTCTCTCTCTCTCTCTCTCTCTCTCCCTCTGTCTCTCTCTCTCTGTCTCTCTCTCTCTCTGTCTCTCTCTCTGTCTCTCTCTCTGTCTCTCTCTCTGTCTCTCTCTCTCTGTCTCTCTCTGTCTGTCTCTATCTCTCTCTCTCTCTCTCTCTCTCTCTCTCTCTCTCTCTCTCTCTCTCTCTCTCTCTCTCTCTCTCTCTCTCTCTCTCTTCTCTCTCTCTCTCTCTCTCTCTCTCTCTCTCTCTCTCTCTCTCTCTCTCTCTCTCTCTCTCTCTCTCTCTCTGTGTGTCGCTCTCTCTCCTTTTCTCTCCTTCTCTCTCTCTCTCTCTCTCTCTCTCTCTCTCTCTCTCTCTCTCTCTCTCTCTCTCTCTTTCTCTCTATCTATCTGTCTCTCTCTCCTTCTCTCTCTCTCTCTCTCTCTCTCTCTCTCTCTCTCTCTCTCTCTCTCTCTCTCTCTCTCTCTCTCTCTCTCTCTCTCTCTCTCTCTCTCTCTCTCTCTCTCTCCTCTCTCTCTCTCTCTCTCTCTCTCTCTCTCTCTCTCTCTCTCTCTCTCTCTCTCTCTCTCTCTCTCTCTTCTATCTCTCTCTCTCTCTCTCTCTCTCTCTCTCTCTCTCTCTCTCTCTCTCTCTCTCTCGCACACATCTGATTCCGTCCTTTCCGAAGGGCCCCACTCTGTTTGATCAGTACGATCAGAGCATTATAAAGGGAACGAGAAGAACATCACAATCATGTTCTGAAGGTGCTGGCCTAGCCTAGCCTAGCCTGCCAGCTGATCTCACTGCTCCTGGAGACCTGGCTCGTTTTCACCTGCCAATCCGGTCTGCCTGAGGGGCCATTCACAATCGCACGCTAGGTGAATTCTTGAGGACAGGTCGAGGTTGGGTGGTTTGTGCCAGGACTGATGAATACTATTATTTCTTGTCTGTACAATGTCATGTATTTCCATTGAAAGCACATGTTTACACACACTGTACATAATATATGCCGGTGTATGTACCGTAACAACAACCCCCTCCCCCCTTCCCCCACGATCAATGCGTGCGGACATGAGCTGTTTGTGTTACTGGTTTATGGTTTATACCCTGATTTACTCTATTTTATCACCCAATGATTATGTCTCTGGGCGGCCTTCAGCCTGAAGTTCAGGCCCAAGAGGCATTACAATTTACATGTACATGTACTCTTTTTGGTTGCTCGATCTAGTCATCGGCCACGTGCAGGTCAATAATCGTATTATCAGCAATTTCCGCCACACACCTTCTACTGGTACAATCCTGATCAATGAAATCCAGTCGCGGCACTCAAGTTTGCGCCTTGCACCATTTCGAAGCCCAGTGTTCGCAGGCCTAAGGCTGCGCAACGCCCGGCGGTGTGTGAATGAGCGACGCTGTGACTGGATTTCATTGAGCAGCACTGTACTGTACTTGTTCATTGAATGCATTTTCACGATCATTCCGATGGGTGCCATTATTGCACGTGGAGATATAAAGAAGAGTAGTCTCCTGCTTACCATGGACGGATCACTAGTGCATGTCTACTGCATGTACAACCATACTTGTACTTGTAATATTATTCTTCTTTTCTGTTTGCATGTACAAAATACATGTTACAGTAGATCTACTACTCGAAGTACCAAGTCTTGAAGAGAGTGGCGGAATTGTGGGGTATGGCTGTAGAAAGAGCCACAACTCTAGCTTCCCATGTTTCAATTCCACGTCTCCTTCTTGCAGATCATGGACGACAGTGGCGTGGTACTTTGTCGCTAGTCTTGGATTCGTAGATCC